GCCCCGGCCCCCGCCGCCGCACCGGGTGCCACCGCCGCCGTGCCCCCTGCCGCCGCGGCACCCGACGGCCCTGCTGCCCCGCCACTTGGCGTGACTACCCGTGCCCGAGCAGGAGTGCTCCAGCCCAATACGCGCTACTCCGCCGACGAGTATGTGTGCACCGCCTCGACGTCGACGCCATCACCCGTCCCCACCTTCGCTCGTGCTGCCCTTCGGGATCCCCACTGGCTAGCAGCGATGTAGGAGGAGTTCGATGCCTTACACCGCAACCGCACGTGGCAGCTTGTTCCGCGACCCCCTCGTGCCAACATCATCTCTGGCAAGTGGGTGTTTCGCCACAAGACTCGCCCAGACGGTTCTCTCGAGCGCTACAAGGCTCGATGGGTGGTTCGTGGTTTTCGGCAGCGCGCGGGCGTGGACTTCACCGACACCTTCGCCCCGGTTGTGAAACCGGGCACGGTCCGTGCCGTCCTTCAGCTGGCCGTCTCACGCGCCTGGCCTGTGCATCAGTTGGACGTTTCCAATGCCTTCTTGCACGGTCATCTCGCCGAGCAGGTGTTCTGTGAGCATCCTACTGGTTTCATCGACACCGAGCACCCCGATTTCGTGTGCTTGCTCTCCCGCTCTCTGTACGGGTTAAAGCAGGCGCCTCGGGCTTGGTACCAACGTATCGCCACCTTCCTACAGTCTCTAGGCATTCGGTCCACTCGCTCCGATGCCTCACTTTTTTGTGTATCATCAGGGAGCTGACATTGCATATCTGCTGCTCTACGTCGACGACATCATCCTCACGGCGTCCACCCCCGATCTCCTTCAGCGGCTGACTGCTCGTCTTCGTGATGAGTTCGCCCTCAAGGACTTGGGCCCCTGCACTACTTTCTCAGCATCGAGGTGATCCGCCGGGCTGATGGTTTCTTTCTGCATTAGCAGAAGTATGCCCACGAGCTCCTTAAGTGTGCCGTATGCTTAACTGCAAGCCAGCGCCCACTCCCGTCGACACAAAGGCGAAGGTCTCTTCTCGGGAGGGGTCTCTCGCGTTTGATGGAGCATTTTATCGCTCTATTATCGATGCTTTACAGTACTTGACACTGACTCGCCCCGACTTGCAGTACGCTGTTCAGCAGGTGTGCCTCCATATGCACGCCCCGCGTGACTCTCACTGGACTCTGGTGAAGCATATTCTTCATTACATACGCGGCACCATGTCTTTGGGACTCACCCTGACGGCCTCCGCCTCCATCGACCTCGTGGCCTACTCGGATGCTGACTGGGCTGGCTGCCCCGACACGCGACGCTCTACGTCAGGCTACTGCGTCTACCTTGGGCCCTCGTTGATCTCTTGGTCATCGAAGCGGCAGCCCACGGTCTCTCGCTCCAGCGCCGAGGCAGAGTATCGCGCCGTGGCCAACGCCATGGCCGAGTGCTCTTGGATACGTCAGCTGCTCCAAGAGTTGCTTTGTGATGTTCACACGGCCACTCTTGTCTATTGCGATAACGTCAGCGCTGTCTACCTCTCTGCCAACCCGGTACACCATCGATGGACGAAGCATATTGAGCTCGACATTCACTTCGTGCGCGAGCAGGTTGCCCTTGGCCGTGTTCGAGTTCTCCACGTGCTGACGTCGCAATAGTTTGCTGATGTGATGACTAAGGGATTGCCTACTCCCGTCTTCGAGGAGTTTCGGTCCAGTCTCTGTGTCTCCGGCGATGCTTCAACTGCGGGGGGGTGTTGAGTATGTGTTTTGTATTGCACGTGTATTGGAGTTGTGGCCCACCTCCTAGTCTTGTATAGTTGGGGTAGAGGCCTTCCCTTGTATTATATATACGTGCACCAGCACCCCATCAATACAACGTTCATTGTATTGCAAATCTCTCCTTCCACAAAGGAGAAGAAGGAAGAGAAGCAGAGGAAGTGGAGACGGGGGGAGGAGCAGCGGAGAGAGGGAGAGAGCAACAGCAGGTGGCGCGGGGATCCAGACGCCCGTCTGGTCGGGCGCGCTAGGCGTGGTAACGAAGTGGAGCGTGCAAGGTGATGGTGGCGAAGACGGAGTGGTGGTTGGATGGTATGGTGCTGATTGGGTAGCGCGGTGGTGCGAGATGATGGTGGATGGATGGGTGATGTGGAGCAGCGAGGTCGCGGAGGCGCGCCGCCACGATGGCCTGGCCGCGGCGGCAGCCGGAGGTGAGAGAAGAAGTGGTGAGGGGGAGAGAGATGGAGATGCTAGGCTCCCAAAGGGGATCAGTGATGAGCTAGGGATTTTGATCCCCTCACGGCTGATCTGGACATTTTCACATTGACCCTCATGCTTTCTTGTTTCTTCACAATAAGGTCCCTCCTCTTCTTCAGCTTGCCCTTGGTAACTTCTTTTCTTCTCGCCCGGGTCCCTCGTCTTTCTTTCATGCCCTTGTCTCTTGTCACAAGCCTCACAGTCTAAATCTGGAAGTTTATAGTGCCTTTGCGCACTTTTCTGCAAAAGAAACAAATGACTAGTCACTAGCTCTTTTATGAATATCATTCGAATATTCGATAATACTAAGCAAAAATGGATGGACATATCTCAATAGATGATGAATTTGTGTGTCAAAATATGTATATGAAATGTGCTTATCAAGTTCCCCCACACTTAAATCTTTGTCTGTCCTCAAGCGAAGGAATATGACAAGAACTAGATAGTGAATAGTGAACTGACTACAGAATGTCAAGTGAAGTAGATCTCTAAACAATGCATGCTTCAGACTTAGTGAAAATTAATGGTTAGAGTGCTACAAAGCAGTAGGATACTAGTAGACTTGACCATTTTAAACTTTTAAAATGATAAAAGAAGATTAGCAAGTTCAAATGCTGATTGTGCCAAAAGGTTCCTAGAGAGAGCATGATCCCCAAAACAAAAAGAACTTAAACTTGTGATCAGGTCACTTATTACGAGGAACAAAACATTGCAGTTGAAAGCACTTATTGTATTTGAAGAAAGTAATGATAATATTTTATCGGTCTCACCAAAGGAACATACCACCGATCCCGAGAACATGGTATACACCTGGCTCGACCAATTATTAGTTAGTTTCTTTTGTTTGTCTCCCCAAAGGAACATACCACCGATCTAGAGAACATGGTATACACCTGGTTCGAGAATTACATTTTTTTATTGCCGTCCAAGCTTCCACATTTCACATGCCACCGATCCAGGGAACATGACATGCTACTGTAGGTAGACCAGACTAACATACATTATACGATATACTTTTCTACTTTTCAAATCAACAAAAACAAGAATCATCACTCATCCATGTCTGGTTCACATACTACCGATCCAGGGAACATAGCATGCTAATCCATAGTGGCAAGTGATTGCTCTGAATGTGAACACAATAGGCACAAACTCAGCATATGACACTTAATGATCTAGGTGTATCAAGGTAAAAGCAGAAAATGATTAAGTTTTCTAGTGTACTAGGGATTTGAGCACTCAAAACTAATAGTTCTCACTGATTTCAGCAAAGCATGCAGTATGTAGATCACTAGTTTACATGGCATTCAACAATCAGTTCGCATATTCTCATCAAGCACCATATGTCAAATAAAATTCAGTGGGGCAACATTTAAGAAATGGCTTAAGCAACCCAAATAACATTTGATTTCATCATGTATCGGATGATATACTCGGAATGGGTCATGAAACAGCTCACCGGGCACTATGAAGTAGCACTCGCTTGATCACTCTCTAAGCTGCTGCTCTTCTGCTTTTTCTTCTCCATCCTCATGCCTGCTCCATCTTCTCCCTTCCTCGCGTGTGTGCCCATTGCTTCTCCTCATCTCCGTGCTCAGTTTCCACCGAGGTCCCAAGGAATGTCACCTCGAACCTGGTCAGCATGTAGTGACTCGTGCACAAGGAAGAACCTGAAAGAGCACTCAACAAAAGAGACAATGCAAGTGGTAGGGATAATACCCTCCAAGTCATCAATCGAATATCCAATTACATAAGCATAGCTATAAAGCACATGTTTAGGATGGTAGAAATCGGCAAGGTCAACACTAACATGAGGATGATATTTATTATTAAGCTCAGGACTAGCATGGGAATGATATGTTTCATTTAGCATAGGACTAGCACGAGGAAAGCAACTATGATCATCACAAATGAGAGTAATGCCACTAACAGGGTATATATCATCATATCCAAGCAAATACTTCCTCAAATCTACTTTAACAGATGGCATCATGCAATGCAAGGTAGTAGGAAAGAAATCATAAGGATGCATGTCATGGAGAGGATTGGATAAACCTGACACATCATGCTCATGTATGATAATAGGCAAATGAATCTCAGGTTCTTCATCTTCAGCTACAGTAGCTTCTTTTACTTCTTCGGGAGAGATAGACATTGGATCTTCAACTTGATCACTTGGGCATTTAAGCTCTGGATCATCTTGTTCCTTGGCTTCGAGTATTTCTTCTTGGATATGAAGTATCTCTTCCTCTGGACTCTCGCTATCTTGCTCAGCTGAATGTGAAGGTTTTGAAACCTCACATGTATCAAGGGATATCCCAGCAACACTCAGCTCAAGCTGTGATGAAATAGTACTGCCAGCGTTGATGTTCTTCTTAATCTTCCTTACTTCTTCCACTAGCGCTTTTCCACTCTTGATCTTCTTCATTTCCTCTAGTATCACCGGCCTAATTGGATCATCTTCGGCACTCCAAGTGAACTCGAGACTAAGCAATGTGAGCTTGTCTATATCATCAAAATCATCTTGTGTGGGCACTTGTGTTGAAGGTGTTGGTTAACCAAATGGAGGACCATTTAACTCCATTGGCAATATCTCGTGGTGTTGAGGTATATGAGTAGGAGGTGAATAAAATTGTTGTGGTGCATAGTTGTTGCTCTCCTCTTCATACATAAATCCCTGGATATGATTACTAGAAGCAAATGGTGAGATCTCAGGGTTGTTGCTCCTATATGAGATATTCTGGTTTTCAGGCCACCCATGTGTGTATTGTTTTGGTATGAGCTATGCTCTTGAGCAAAGCTCATGCCAAAACAATCTGGAGGGTGAGAGTAACCACGCTGACATTCAGCGGGTGAATGGCCCTGAAATCCACAAATATGGCAGGTAGGAGCAACATAAGGATGGCCTCTAGAATAAGGATCATAAGAGGTAGGCATATCCTCAAAAACTACTTCTCGCTGCCGAGCTAAATCATCTAATCGATGGGAAATCTTACTTATCAGTTCTTGAATACGTTCAGTGTTGTTTGTACTGTTGCTCGCATAAGCATGATGATCTGAGTAGAATGCCATTTCCAAGAAGACAATTCAAGCTACAAAATGAATAATAAAAGAAAGAGAAGATAACTATAATAGTGGTTAGGGGTAAGAGATATATCACAAATATATGGCACTAAATAGAAACAGAAGCAAAACCTAGTCTATCGCCTAACACGGTCGCACGATGCTAGTCCCGGCAACGGCGCCAAAATGATCATGTGTAAGTACAGTTGGGTATTTCGCCCAATTCTGCGAGTGTCGTGTTCTCCTTAGGTACTAGTCGATGACGACTATGCTCGGCTAAAGCTAGGTGACATAATACAGATGATGATTACAAGGAAATAAACCTAAACTAAACAAGGTTGTTCCCGAAGATCTTTCACAAAGAAAATGCAAATAGCACAGGGATATTAAGATTTTCTTCGCTTACTTTTTGGTACTTTCCTATTACTTGAGAAACTAAAATGCTAACACAATAGGGAAACAGCATGGCATGAAAGATTATATAGTAAACAAGATTATATGACAGGGACAAAAATATAACAGTGGGAAGAATCACGGTTATATGGCTGGAAAAAATTGTTTCACATCACAAACTCACACACATATTTTTGTAGCACAAGTACTTGAGTAAACACAAAAACTAGAAACTGGAACAAGTTCACAGGGTTAGGTACACATATATGGTGATAGATAGAACACAGATACACAGCAAGAACAATTCAACTAGTGAGAACACACAATATGTGATACAATATTTATAAGTACGAAATTGAACCATTCACGGATTGCAAGCATTCATAGAATCTAAACATTACAAGGCATTACACATCTCCTATTATAGAAATTCAAAGAATATAGAGGGAAAAAGAGAGATAACAACAGTTTATGGTTCAGATTATGAGCACCAGGGGCGTTTGAGAGAAGGTGCAGCAAGAAAGAGGAGCAACGACAGTTTTGGGGAGAGGTCATAGCAGCCAGCGGTTGGTTCAGAGAAGGAGCAGCAGATTGGGATTTTGAGAAGAAGAAGAATAGCAGTAGGTGGGGAATTGGAAGAGAAGCAGCAGCGAGCAACAAGTTAGGATCAGCAGGGGCGCAAGAGAAGAAGAGCAACAACAAAGGGGGTCGGAGAAGAGAAGCAGTAGCAAGACGTGGGAGAAGGAGAATAAGGAAGAGAAGCAGAGGAAGTGGAGACAAGGGGAGGAGCAGCGGAGAGAGGGAGAGAGCAACAGTAGGTGGCGCGGGGAACCAGACGCCCGTCTGGTCGGGCGCGCCAGGCGCGGTGACAAAGTGGAGCGCGCAAGTTGATGGCGGCGAAGACGGAGTGGTGGCTGGATGGTGTGGTGCTGATTGGGTGGCGCGGTGGCACGAGATGATGGTGGATGGATGGGTGATGTGGAGCAGCAAGGTCGCAGAGGTGCGCCGCTACGATGGCTTAGCCGTGGCGGCAGCCGGAGGTGAGAGAAGAAGTGGTGAGGGGGAGAGAGATGGAGATGCCAGGCTCCCAAAGGGGATCAATGATGAGCTAGGGATTTTGATCCCCTCACGGCTGATCTGGACATTTTCTCATTGACCCTCCTGCTTTCTTCTTTCTCCACAAGAAGATCCCTCCTCTTCTTTAGCTTGCCCTGGTAACTTCTTTTCTTCTCGCCCGGGTCCCTCATCTTTCTTTCATGCCCTTGTCTCTTGTCACAAGCCTCACAGTCCAAATCTGGAAGTTTATAGTGCCTTTGCACACTTTTCTGCAAAAGAAACAAATGACTAGTCACTAGCTCTTTTATGAATATCATTCGAATATTCGATAATAGTAAGCAAAAATGGATGGACATATCTCAATAGATGATGAATTTCTGTGTCAAAATATGTATATGAATTGTTCTTATCAGTCGTCCGACCCATTTAATTCGGTCTAGCTGCACGTCCATGACTCCGACTCGTACACTTCCCGTGGCGGGGTGTGCGGGCTATTTGATTCATGCTCGTGTCTTTTTCTATACTTCTATATACTCCTTTGTTTCTAAATATCCATCTTTCTAGAGATTTCAACAAGTGACTACATATCTCGTAAAAAAACAAGTTACTACATACGGAGCAAAATGAGTGAATCTACACTCTAAAATATATCTATATACATCTATATGTGGTAGTTTATTTGAAATCTCTAAAAATACAAATATTTAGAAACGGAGAAAGTATATCTATATCCTATTCCCTCTATCATAAAATAAGTATCTTAACTTTGTACTAAACTAACTAAGCCATGCCATCCAAGAATCAAGTTATCCTCGCCGTCATAAGAGAGAGTCGTGTATGAAAACAAGCGGGACCATTAAAGGGATACACAAACAGCTTCTTCGCCGATGTGGAAGGGTGTGCTACACTGGGAAGTTAGCATTAGATCACAAGGGTGGATGGTGTTGTTGGTGTTCATGTATATATGTAACATGTGCACTAATGTGAAGGGGCTTTTTACCCCACTCCCTTCTTTATAATATAGCACACACACTCGTGTGTATTTGAATTTTTTTTAAAGCCACATGACAGATGTGCACAATTTGATTACTGCTTGGCCTAAGCGCTCACCTGGGAGTCCAAGAAAGAAGGCAGCACGATTAGGCCCACAAAACTTAATATAACAACTACCTTTAACTTTAACTTAATCTATTCTCTGATGTGCACATAATAATTACGTGCTTCACCGCAAAGAAATATACGAAGCTTCGCCCTGCATATTCGCAATCCCTACAATCATGCAAGGGCAGGGAAAAAAAGGAAAGCCATCGCAATCTGATCCCCTTGCTTGCTAACTCCCCCGCGAGGTCACGACCCACACCGCCTGCCTTCGGCCACCGGACATGGATCGGACACCCACGCCACATGCTCCGCCGCCTGAACCTCCTCACACCGCAGTCACCGCAGAACCGACCAGTGTGCGACGCCTCTCCCATAGTGACCCGCGACACCAGCAACACCTCCCATCCCCTCCTGTCATCTTCCTTATCCCTACCCAGCGGACGACTAGAGGAGGTGGAGCTGACGTCTCCCTCCTTCACCTACACCGACGATGAGATAAGACGGCGCCCTCTCACCGTGCACGCCCTTGATCTGGACGGCACTGCCGAGCCCGTGGTCCTCCTCCCCAGGTCACCGGATCCAGCAAGACCTGTCCCATCCTCCCACATCGGCCACCATCCTCCTCTGCACCCAAGCTTTGCCCATAAGCTCCATGTGCATTAGCAGGTTTCATCTGACAATTTGGATCAAGCAAGTCATAAGAGTTTGCCGGCAACCCCCAGTCTTTTGACCTGGTTTGTTATTCATCTCAGGTGGTTTTTTCTCTGGAAAATAATTTGGAACATTAAAAACTGATTTTGAAATGGCTCATGCAAGATGAATTTTATCCGTCCTGCATTCATGAAAAATTATGAAGAGGACAATCGTGTGAAAGTACATGTAGTCCCCATGTGTGGTTTTGGTAATTAAATGACAATCCTAATGGACTAATGCTTGCACTGAGATATACATTTGAAGGAAAGTTCCATTTGCAATGCATGAAGAATATTGGATGAATTGGTGGATGAAATCCATCAACATCTATATATGCATTGAGATTTGATAATGAATGACAATTCCTATGAAGAAACAATGACATCAAGTTATATAGGAAGGTTTGTTCCATGGGTGATGCAAGAAGGATATTGAATGGATTCAGAATGAATGTCATATACATGTAGTTGTGCATCAAGATTAATCATGGAGCAAAGATTAAGGTTGACCAAGATGAAGATCGAAGATTGAATTCAAAGATGGTCAACACACAAGCGCAAATCATGTGCCACGTGAGATCTTGTGGTATGGTAAGAATTTGTCAATTGCGCTTTGTGTACTAACCCATACTATGTGTTGCCTATGTTTTTGAGAGGAGATTCTCATGGGCTCGCATCAGAGAGAGATTTCAAGTGTCTATGAGAGGATGGCATCAAGTGTTGATGATCATGGTTGACAAGGGCAACTTCAAGATAACTATCCCGAAGGATTACATGCTTGAAGCTTGTGGATGATCACATGATGGACACATGAAGATAAATACAAAGCAAAGCTTCCCACATTGTGTATGGGGGAGATACTTGAAGACTTCACCAATGTCTTGCCATTCAACTTGATCCAAGAAGAAACTTCAACTTCAAGCTCAAGTGAAAGGCTCGAGTCAAAGGTATTAGTTCCTTCGACGTTAGTGTTGTGGAGTGATGAACACCGAAGGAACACATACACTCAAGAATGGATTCTTGATAGCTATGTAGTGTAGACCTTTTATGATTCTTGAGTTATAGGGATTCCGCACTATTAAGAGGGGATCAAAGGGGTTCGTGATAGATTTGCTCAAGTCAA